TTGGGGTAATTTTGTCTGTCGTTTGCGCTTGACTGTTTCGTGTGAAAGTGAGTAGAGGGGGGTTGGAGGTGTGACGCTGGAGGAAAGTGAAGGCTTTGGTATGGAGGAGGTGTGGCTTAACAGCAGTTTGTCGTGTTTTCATGCTGGTGCTCGAGGGCGACATCTACTGGATCAAAACGTCACACATTCTACCTTTAAGTGTTTTTTCAATCCATTGCAATAAAATCGATTGCTGTGTATTTATTACGAATGCTCATATGTGATAACGATAAAATCACAATTCATTGTGCAGCCTGAATGGCACCGAGTGGTTAAATTTCCGCCAATCTCATTAAAGAGGACATATTATCCTCCTTTTACACCTTTTTTTCCTGTGGTCTAAATGAAACATCTGTGGCTGTGCTTTGGTCAAAATATAACATGAATCAAGCACCAGAGGAGGTTTGTGACCCTGTATAAACCAGCTCTCTCAGAACGCTCCGTTTTGGTGTGTGTGTCTCTTTAAATGCAATGACCCCCCCCTGAGTTTTCCCAGTAGACATCACTCCTCTGTAGCGAGAATAATAATGGCCGACCTGTGCAAAAGTTTTTCTCTAGGCTGGAGGTGGAGTCCATGGGTGGAGATACCAGGGGAAGGGAGGGGATATTCTTTAACCAGAATCCCACTGTGACATCACAAGGAGAGCATATTTGAAACAGAGCATTTTTCTCTGTGTTGTAAGACTTATGCAGACCACAAACAAAGGACTGGATGGGTTTATTTCACATGTTGTGGGTCAGTAGACTCTCAGGTTACACAAATAAATGTTCAAAAACACTGAAGAAGTGGATTTTTCATAATATCTCCCCTTTAAGTGATTATCAGCACAGTCATTTGGTGTGTAACACTATAGACTGTAACGTTGCATCTTATATCACAATCACAACTTTGTGTCATCATCTTCTTCTTTTTAAGGAATCATTGTGATTTTATGAACTTTGTCTGCAGTTTAAACCTTCCTCACTGAGCACGAGCTTTGCCTGCAGTTTCTTTAAAAGTCACTGATTCCGTTTGTTGCACTAAAAAGTTTCATCAAAGCCAAACCAAGCTCAGATGCAACACAGTCTGCACTCTGCATACATGCGAGCACATGTGGCCACACCCATCACTGTGAGAACGCTGCATGGTGCCATTTTGTGTCTTCGCTTGTTGTTGTTTATTTGAAATGGCAGACACACAAACACGGTCTCTGTTGGAGGTCACTGCAGGGCAAACATGTCGTCAACATCTGATTCCTCGCACTCAGCGTTTGTTTTGTTGTCACTATAAAGCAAAGGGGATGAATTATGTTTTAACTCTGGGCTCAGAATTGTTTCATAAAAGCAGGAAATGAAAGTAGATAAGCAGATATGATACGCTAACAAGAGCTGAGTCACACTGATCCGGGCCAGAATGCAACTCCTTCCTCATGTCTCTGTGCCAAGCTGCTGCTCCTATCTAAAGCAGGAAGCAGATCAACAAAGTAAACCTATTTTTTTTTTTTAAACACAGCCACACTATTCCAGTTGTTGTTTGAGGAGTGGAGTACAGTCTTAGAGCTCCTCCAGTGGACAAACACAGCACAACCCCTCTGAGCTGTTTCTGGGAAATCACCTGACCAGTGTGATAAGTTTCGTTTTGATGTGACTGAGACTGAGCTCTGACAAGAGTTGAACATTTTGGAGGGAAGAGAAACAGTTTTATGACCTCATGTGCTCCTCTTGTTCCGCCTGCTTTACCACATTCAAATAATAAGACAAATAATCAGAGGAACATCAGTGAAATGATGTAAGAGGGAAAAAACACAGATGTCCTGTGCTAATTTGACCTTAATTGTTTATCTTAATAGAAAAGAGAAAAACACATCTGGTGAATATGGTGGATGGGATTTCCTGAAACTGAATTAAAACTTCAACAAGCCTGTGTTTGTAAGTTGAGTAAACTCATGGCCTGAGAGCCTAAAGGCAAATTTAACATCCCAAAACATTATAAAGAGTATATGAGGATAAACAGCATGAACCACTTGGAGTTTTATTTTAGGGGGACGGGGCAGACAAAGGTGGTGTTTTGATATTAAAACTCTGGCTCTTAAAGGGTTAAAACATGATGCCTTATTGATCTCTGCAGGGCGTCTCCAGTAATATCCGGTCCCCATGAAAATATATCACACTGGAGCCCTCCACCACAGCCACCCTGCTAAATAACCTCCTCCATTAACAACTTTAAATTAAGGTCGTCACATTTGTCTCCCCTCAACACTTCTCTACACCCCACATTCAGAAAGGAACATTCCCTTTTGTTGTAATGATCGATACGATATCAAAGTTCTTCACTGTGTTTTTATATAAGAAAGGTGCATGAGGGAGGAACTCCTACACACTCTCAACGATTTAAAGAGTCTGTAGGAGTTTGTCTGCAAGCTTTACAGAAGAAGAAATTACTAAATATGTGGTGCTTTGGACTTTGTTGTCGATATCATTTGATTTTTTCCACAATCATTTAGGCCCACGTTTAAAATTCTGGTATTGTGATTACTGTAAATATCTATTACTTTGTGTTCCATCATTAAAAAGCTTGATTGCAGTTTTAATTCAACAATAACAGTGACGGGCAGCAGATGGCTTAGCGGTTAGGTCACGCCCCATGTACAGAGCTTATAGTCCTCCAAGCGGGTGGGCATGGTTCAAGTCCAACCTGCGGCTCTCTTCCCTCATGTCATTCCCAAATCTCTCTCTCTCTCTCTCTCTCTCTCTCTCTGGATTTTCTACTCTGCCCACTGTCCCGTCAAACAAAGACACAAAACCTGAAAATAACAACAATAACATTAAAGCATGTGATAATGCATCTTTATGGCATTTTAATAGTTTCTAAGCAGCTAAAGGTTTTAACAGCATTTTGTTTTGAGAGTTAAGAAAGACTTCAGAATAACGTTCATTATTCCGTCAGTTCAACCTTTCTTATGATCATGGACTTAGAAACAAACAATGGCGATTGTAGAGTCTGTTGTGGCCCGAGCTGTTTTCACTCCCATGATTCCTCTTCATTTTCCTTTAGTGGTTTTCACAGGAATCATTTATGATAAGCGTTGTGGGGCAACAAGAGTGAGTGCTGTCAGATGGGGCCCCCTTAGGAAGGTTTCCCACTGTCATTGCAAAATTGGCACAGTTTGAACTACTGCTGTGGTTTAAGGTTATTCAGGCCTCAGGGGACGGATCTCTGAGGGTCATGAACTTCAAACTTCATATTTAGTTCAAAATAATAACAACATGGAAGTGTTTGTAAAGGAGCGCTCTTTGGAGGATTTTAATGATGATCACTCATTAAAAACAAAGGTTATATGTGAAAATCTACCCTTGTGTTTCCAGACTTTTTTATTACTATTGTCCTCATGTGACAGCCTCTGTTCATAAAACAGATACATCTTAAAAAGATGTTTAATGTGCATGTTATCTTTGAAAGAAAGCAACACATTTAAAACATTTAAGATGTTATGTCATCATTAGTTTAATATCTTTATGATTCACATCCAGCTGGTTTAAATCATGCAGCATCTTTGGTATGATATCGTGCAATGACCTGTTGATGATGAATCTTTAAACTCATTTGAGTATCTGCATTAAACTGCTGAGAAACTTAAAGGGGGATTAACTCCAACCGGCCACAAGAGGGCGCTGTTTAGTCGATACGTGACAGATAGGATGAAGAATTACACTGAAATGAATAAAATCACAATCTTAATAAAAGTAATTGAAAGGTGTTCTCTGAATGTTAAAGAACCTGATTGGTTTAATGGTTCAATAAAAAACACATAATGTCGTGTTCTGTCCTCTCGACTGAATTCATTGAGCGAAGTTAGCAAACCGGAAATGTAAACGGACGTTTCCTGTAAAACATTAAAGTAACAGATTTAAAAGACCAACCTGCGTCAAACTAACCCAAAACTACAAGAATGTGTTGTTGGTTAAAAATAGTAAAGAATCTGTATCTGTATTACAATGTTAATGTAAACATGGATGACAAACAACCCAGAGTTAGCATTAGCATTAGTGCCAGTAACACTGTTGGTGCACCTGCTTAAACGTCCGGAGTAGCTACAACAGCAGCTAACTTTGGTTCCTACTGCTGATTAGTTTAATTAATGAATCATGAAAGACAAGAAGAAAGGATCGATTGATAGATACAAAATAATGCACGCGAATGATCAGAATAAATATTACAAAAAGAGCTCAGCGGAGAAGAAAAAAAATCAATCTTGGTGAGAAAACTAAAAAGCACATCTTTTTCATATATCATATATCACCCCACACAGGAAGCAGGGGTTTAACTGCTTGTCTTGTTACAAGGCGACACCTTAAAATCCATCTATTATCTACCTGAATGAATAAGAGATGGCAACATCCTGTGGCCAAAAGTAGTCAAAGAGACGTACGATGACAGATGTTAGGAAGAAAAACAAGAGTCAAGCAGCTCTTTTAAAAAGATTATATATTACAGAAACAAGAATTTAAAAAAATTACTTACACACATTATAAAATAATACTTTTTACTCTTTTCAGCACCATATTTTTTATGTTTGTCTTCAGAACAAAGGAAATATGTTTAGGTCATTGTTTCTGGAGGATCTCAAAGTCAGATTTATTCATTTTAAGGTTTTGGCCATCCCGTCGAGTTTCTGAGCTATACTTTAAAAAAGGTCAAACAATAAAAAACAAAACAAAGCTAAGCCCTTGTATGCCATCTTGTGGCCACTCATGTCGGCAGACAGGGTCGTCCCCTCCCTCTCACAAATGTCCTCCTACCCACTTAAATCACAGATGTTCATTTTAAAGCTCAGAGGATTGTGTTAATATTTAAACATGTTGATCAATGCAGGGACTGACTCAGTGAACTGAATTTCTTTGATGCATTTAAAAGCCCAGTTAAGCAAGAAGCTGAGTTTGAAACCAATAGACGTCGAGTGAAACAGTAGCAACGACAGAGCTGGAGAGTCACCATTTAATCATTACAGTGGAAGCAAAATTGAACAGCACAGTACAGTTGATGAAAACACTAAAAAAAGGGATATTACAATCAAATATGGCCACAGATTCTTTGGTTCTACAGGAGGAGTTTGGACAGGGCGTGAACAGAAGCACCTTAGCTCAAGCTGGAAGATAGTTGAACATGTAAGTCACTCTAGTCACTTGAACACTTGAGTGTCAGCTACAGGAAATAAATACAAATGAAATATACCACATTTGACGTGAATATTTGGTGGTCTTTTTTTATCTCATAGCACCCTGTTTGTTTTAAATAAATACAATAGAATATCACTATTTCTGTACAAATGGAATGTAATGCACATTTTCCCCAGTAAAAAAGCTTCATGAAATTATAAAAGAGACTAAAGAGAGTGAAGGAGGGGTGGAAAGTGAATACTACAACTTGTATACTTTGGTATAATTAGCACCTTGCCACACAGTTTCTGCATGCATTTAATTCACTGCTGTAGGAGAACAAAGATGGGAGAGGGCTCCCAGGTACATATTTAAACCCTGACGAGGTTCTGATAATCAGAAAACATGTTTTGGATTTAAAAAAAATCAAAGTACCCAGAAAGTGACTCAGTAAATGCTAGACTGGTGTGGGATGGAGACCCTCATAGCCTGATCCTTGATTTAAAGACCAATCAGCCGTTTAAAAGGCACAAGTAGCATGTAAGTACAACAGCATCAGGCGTAGCACAGCTTACAAAAACAATGGCTATTTAATTCCCTGACCAAGGTTTCCACACATCTTTATTTTGCCTCACTGCACGCAGCAAGTTTTGTCCTGCGTAACAAACCAACAATTCAAAGAGAGTTTCTGCTGCTCTCAAAGGAAACAGGTCTAACAAAGAATAACTCCTGCTTCTCACTGGACTCTACAATCCTTGCTGCATCACACCAGAAAGATTTTTCAACCATTAGTATGAGCTGTGAATCACATTTATAGAGTGTTTTTAATGACACTGAAAGATAATCATAAAGAGAAGCCGCTGTAACAAAAGAAAAACTTCAATCTAACAAGCATGGCATCCTTCGGTTGGTTCCCTCTTCATTCTGGGAGGAAACTGGTGGCTTTATTTCTTTGGTTCCTTTTGATACAATAAGAAAAGAGCTGTGAGTTAAAAAGTGTTTCCAATGTGAGCAACACGATTGACAAGTCACTGAGTGTTTACACACATGTCACAGAAATAGACAGCTAGATGACTGAGCCCGTAAAGAAGATTTGAACTGACCACTGGCCGTCATTTTACTTCCAAAGTTTGGCGCCTGCAGGTTTCTTTTAGGTTCATGAGTGGGAGTGCTGGCTTAGAGAAGAAAGTTGATTCAAAACATTCAATTCTCAATTGACTGAAGCATTTAACACCAAAGCTGTGAACCGAAACTAACTTTTCAAACCGTACGGATGCATTCAGCCTCATATGTTGCACCGCTCTTCAGTCTGAAAAGAGTGACTGTCAACCATGTTGCCCGCAGTGTGAACGTGAGATTAAAGAAATGCAGATAAAGTCCGAGTGTGACCCTTTTTTTTTAGAAGGAGGAAGCAGGAGGTAGAGCAAGTGGGATGAGTGGATAAAAAAAGGGGGAGACCGTGGGGAGGAGAGAGGAGTGAGAGGGGGATCGGAGACAAGGGGCTTCAGATGTCGCCGGCTTGTTCTCTGTCTCAGGCCGGCCTCTTTGGCTGCTGGTAAAACAACACTGTTTCATTCTTCAGAAACACTCTCTCCTGGCTTCTTTCTTCCTTTCTTGCTGTGGTGCGCCCAAACGATGATCTCCTCTCTGCGAGTTTTTATTTCTCTCCTCTTGACTTATTTTTGACGTCCATTATTGGTTGGGACGATGTTGAGTTTCCCAGGCACGTACTTGAGTGTGAGCGCTTGTTTGTCCCACAACCGCATCTGTGTATCTCAGTGTGTGTATGTGTGTGTGTTTTCATATCATTTACAAGTTAATTTACAAATTACTGGGCATGTATGTGTTTTTATATCAATGTGTCTCTAAGTGCATGTGTGTGAGTGTTTGTAGTGTTGTTCCGCTCAGGATGTGTGTGTTTTTAGCCTTGGAAACAGACAGGTCCCACTTCAAAGCCAAACTGCTGGTTGCTCTCCCCAAAGTCTGACACCTTAATATCCCGCAGAGGAAGATGCTCCACTTGTGGCGTGTTGATTTCCAGCACTGTCCTATCGAAGCCCTTACGATACTGCAGACAGAGACGGAGAGAGAGACACGTTTCAGAAACAGGAAGCATTTTCTTTAGGGTGGTAAGATTGTGAAGAATGAGGTCTACTCTTGTAAAAGTGTTTTTATGTTCACGTTATGTAACTGCATCAGAACTAGAGAAATATAGAAACTCATCACTGATGCACTTTAGATTAGGCTGCTTGATTTTTAAATGTCCATGATTAGACAGGTCAAACATTTAGAAGGTCGTTTCCACAGATGTATCCTTTAGGTGTAGCAGGGAGGTTTGGTTTATGTGTGTTAACTCACAGAGCAGCCGTCCACCAAGGCCTTGATGTAAGGGTTGGTCTCGTAGCTCAGATCCTCCTCGTTGGCGCCCTGGAAGTGCAGCGCTCTGTTGTAGCTGTTCTTGGCGCTTCGGTCGGCCCAGGCCACCGAGCGATGGCAGTGGTAGGTGAGGTTCTGGCGGGCCTGGATGCTCAGGAGACGCAGGAAGCCGAGCTGGACCACGCCCACAGGCTCGCCATTAGAGTCCACATAGGAGAACTGGTAGAGGATGAGGAAGAGGAGGTCATTAAGAGGATCAGAGGAAGTTAAGGTAAGAATGAAACTATAATCTTAAAGGTCACAGAAGGTCACAGAAGGTTACGGACCTTGCTGCCAGTGGAGAACTGACTGTACCAGGATCCTGGAGTCTCTTTGTCCCAGGAGCTCATCTTTACCTGAAAACATAATAACCACATCACATGTTAAGTTGAAGATGTTGATGTTTTTATTATTTAACAAATAAAACAAACAGGTTTTGTTGGTAAAATAAAATTTAACATCAACCTTGTTCAAGTGTTTGTGAACTTTATTCATGCTGAGATTTTCTTAGTTTGATTATTAATGTACAAAAACCACAATGTGAGGATGCAAAGAGTTTTTAGAAAGGGAGCAATCAGAGTCTTCAAATCTTCACCAACATCGAATGTTCCCACATCAGTTCAATGTTTTTAAAGTTGCACTCAGAGACTAACATGTCTTTTATTTTAAAGGATAATGAGGAGATTTTAAAGTGTTTGTGATATACTGACCGTATTGATGCTGGGATACAGGCATGTCTCTGCTCCATTAGTGAAATTACAGAAAACCTTGAAGGCATCCCTGGAGCAGCCCTGGTTGGGGTCAATCCAGTACTCTCCTGCATGGGGGGCAGAGAAAGTAAAATGTAAATGTTAGAACTCTTAGGAATGGGGCGCTGGTTGGGCGAGGAGGTCAGAGGTTTGATTCCGACCTGTGGCTCCTTTCTCTCATGTCAGTCCCCACTCTCTCTCTTTCATATATGTTGATCAGCTTCATCGACATGTTGACTTGACGATGATCACCACACAAAGAACATTATCAAAACCTGATGCAGGGATTATTACGCTGAGCAGGCTTGTGGGTTGACTCCCTTACCGTCTTTGAGGTCTGGCTGGCTGAGGTGCAGGTCTTGGCAGGTGCGAGCAGGGCTGTCCTGGGTACCCAGTGGGAATCGCATGGTCTCAATCTCCTGTCGCAGTGAGTTGAGAGAGCCAAAGATCTCCTCCATGCCTTCACTGCCCATCAGGAACTCAGTGCCAGTGGCGTCGGATGCAGGCATGTCTGAGTCGCTCTCTGGGAGCAGCTGGCTGGCGTCGATGGAGCGCTTGGACTTGGGGCTCCTCTGGATGGGCAGGGGCTGGATGACCTCACCTGGTGGGCCCTTGGAAGCAAGTTTACATCTCAATAAATCAACTTAGAAACTGTAACGAGGTGAAATCACTGAGCAGTAGAGATGTAACGATACCTCAGGAGACAATCAAAAATACTAAGCAAGTGAAGATGTGGATAATGTGTCTGTTTTCAAAACCGCCTCTACATACTACTATTCAGTATGTACATCAGGTGTCACAAAGTGAAAAACATTCTGAGTCTTTTAAAAGCTTTCTGTGCATCAATGACAGAAAAACAGGCTGCAAATCTGCTATTTCAAGAGATTTTCTTTTTGTGTTATACATGTGTTTTTTAAATGTTGGATTTGTGGGGCTGTGGCTCAGTGGTAGAGTCGTCGTCTCTCAACCAGAAGCTCAGGGGTTCAATCACTACATCCTGCATCCACATGTCTGACGTGTCCTTGGGCAAGACACTTAATCCCAAATTGCTCCCACTGCTTGGTCGTCGGTGTGTGTGAATGGGATTAGTTACCTCTGATGGTCGCTGTAGATAGCAGCTGCTGCTTATAATATTTAGAAAGTCGGGATGAAATCCTATCCTGAACCCAATATGATGATTTGATCATATCTTGAGTTGAGTGAATCGTTACATCCATACTGAGCAGATTAGAATGTAATTGTCTTTCTTTTCACAAAGAGTGCATGAGTACTTACAGGAGGTCCAGGAGGTCCTTGTACTCCCTTTTCTCCCTTAGGACCAGATCCTCCCTAAACGCAGCAGAGAGGGGAAAGATTTAAGAGCAAATACAGAATCAGATCAGATTTGATGTAGGAGTCAGGAACAGTCTCATTGTGTTTGTGAGGTACAAACGCTGTTGAAGAATACTCACAGAAGAACCCTTGGCTCCTTTAACACCTTGAGGACCCTGTAAACGAGGTGAGCCTTTAGTTTGGTGACCATGACATGCGTAGTGTTTTGCTGCATTGCATTGGTACTTTATTAAATCTGGGGAACTAAGTGAAGTGGAAGAACAAAGAGAGATAGCATGTTCACAAGACAAACAGGACTACTCACTGGCAGACCAGCAGGACCAGCAGGGCCGAGGGGTCCAGTTCCTCCAGCCATTCCCTGAAACAAAACCGGAGACATGTTCAACATGACAATAGTTTACAAACATGTTTATTATAATGAAATTCAACAGTTTCCACTGCAATGCTGTAAGAAACTCCACTGTCACTTAGCCTCTGTGCTTTTACATTTCACCTGCAACAGCGTAATATTGGTGTCCCAGTGTGGAGTTTTACGTTGCATTACGGTGATGCAGCAGGAGGGACAACATGTAAACAAACAGCTTTAACATTCATACACACACACACACACACACACACACACACACACACACACACACACACACACACACACACACACACACACTCTGTCTCTATCTCCAGCACACCAGTAGAACTACTTTACCAAAACTGTGGCTCTGTGATTTCTTTGTGAAGGGTAAATAGGAGATAACATTCCCATCTTTAACAGGCGATGTAAAAGAGGTTTATCATTTTGTTGAGCTGCTTTTCTGAAGGTTTTAAAAGAAGTGCGACTTACAGACTCTCCTTTTGGTCCGGAGGTTCCATGAGGGCCAGGCATACCTCTGTCTCCCTTCTCTCCCTGCTCTCCTGGGGGCCAATGAGACCGATAAGACCTGGGTGTCCTTTCTCTCCCTTGGAACCGGGTTCTCCACGCAGGCCAGGCAAACCAGGAGGTCCCTGCAAGAGGAGAAGGAGAGAAAGAAGAGGAGAGGAGGAAACAGCGGTGAGGTTGTTGGTGAGACAAAAGGAGAGATAAGAGACAAAGTTAGAGGTTTGAAAGAAACAGCAGCTGGAGAACGGACATCTGTTTGATCAACTTCTCTTTACTGAACGCACTGTGAGAGTGCAGAGTGCAAATAGAAAAGGAAATAAAAGGCATTGTTATCTTACGAGAGGTCCAGGTGGTCCTTTCTGTCCAGAAGGTCCAGGAGATCCTTGCTCACCCTGAAACATATTTAGAAACACAGTTAGGAGGACATGGCCAGCCAACACACCATGCAGTCACTATCACAATCTTTACTGACCACTGATCCTGGAAGTCCTCGGAGACCCTCTGTTCCTGGTTTTCCTGGTACACCCTGGGGACCAACAGGTCCAGTTTTTCCTGGGGGTCCAACAGCACCTGTTTCTCCCTGTAAACAATGATGATGAGAATTATAATAAAACATGTTTTTAGTACTGTCACAGTATTAATAAAGCAGCACAGCAACATAACAACATAATAAATTAAACTTCAATATCATTTCACAAAACGAGATCAAAGTAGAGATTTATAACAGGATCATTAAAGCGAACTATCACCAATTTACATTTTTCATATAGAACCACAGGGAGTGAGAATACACTATAAAGCTCTAAACTCACCTTGGTTCCCTTCTCTCCCTGACGTCCCTCTGGTCCTCTCGTTCCAGCAGGACCCTGGCAGGTGAAACATGTAACACAGCTTCAACAAATGCAGATTATAAAACATGTTTTCAGGAGCAGTCTGCCTGAGATCTTCTAGACATGTTCAGGATTATTATGTGGAAATGTTTTATTACTGTAGCGCTGCTGCCACACATGTTCTTCTAATCAACAACGTATACAACAGAGACTGAGCTAGTGAGTCAGGTTTAAAGAAACAACATTTGAAAACCCCTTTCCCCCACCTCAAAGCACAAGCTATGCTTTAGCAGACTTTGTTTAAATAGATAATCAGAATGGAGTAATGTATTCATGACTGTCACAGTTCTGCTCTTATTGAAACACTCAGAAGAAGGTTCTTCTCAAAGGAGGACGATGGGCTTACCCTCTTTCCTGGAGGGCCGGTAGAGCCGTTCTCACCAGGGGGTCCAGGGGAGCCCTGTAACAGGAGAGGGCAGAGCGCAGACTTAAGACCCTGAAACATTTCATCTACACACTTCTTTCATATCTGCATTGATTGATCTTTCAACGTACAGATTCTCCTTGTTCGCCATCTTCTCCTCTCTCTCCCTTTGCACCATCTTGGCCCTGAAATAACGCAGATCAGGGTTAGTGTTCTTTCTTATTGTTGTTAAGTTTAGCTAAAGCACAAGACAATGTGTATGTTACAGTTTCATTCAACAGAAACCTTTTGGTGTATAATCAAAAGTCATATATATATTTTTAAATGATACTCACTCTGGGTCCAACCTCACCAGGGGGACCAGGATCCCCTGGGAAACCAACAGGACCCTGAAGGAGACAAAAACAGACTGATTAAGTGACAGATGAAAATGACATCATGAATGTATTAATGAGGAGAACTAATCATTAACACATAAAACCACTCGCTTTGTTTACAGTGTAAACTACAATGATCTGTGTTGAAATGTCATTGTGTGTTTGAGTGTCATACAGGATTTCCTTTGGGTCCGTCGTCTCCAGGTCGTCCTCGGCCTCCAGCAGGTCCAGCAGTTCCAGGTTGTCCAGATTCTCCCTTCTCTCCGCGCTCTCCACGAGGACCCTGACAACAGGAGCACAGGACTCTTTCACACTTGTACAAATCTCTGAAAACTTCCCTGAAATGTTCAGACTGAGTTGCATGTGTGAAGGCAAACAGTTTTTCACTCAGACTTTTTTCCTGCCAGCACCCTCGTACATTTTCAGTGAAGTCATGGTGAGCTAATGTGAATCGCAGTAGGAAAGATCATCCTGTCAGCGGAGCCACAGCCTCCTTATCTCCTACCCTGAGCTGTAAGAGTCCGACACTCACCTTCTTTCCTGGCTCTCCTCCAATTCCAGGTGGTCCTCCCTCACCGGGCTCTCCCTGTGGAAGAATCGTTTTCATTTAGATCCAAATTAAACCTTTTTTTAAGGAAAGTTTAAAACTCAGAAATATTGCTTTCATGCCAGTGAAACACCCCTCACCTTCTCTCCAAGAGGGCCAGGGTTACCCAAACCACCAGGAGGACCTTGAGGACCCTGAACAATATGCAAAAAAATCAGAAAAAAGATTGATGAATTCACATCCAAATAAATATTATCTGCTAATAGATTAGAGATAGTTTACATTTGTTTGACCAGATTATGTAACAGTTACTTGTTCAATTACATTAACAATATTTTATAAGAGGACCTTGAGTCTGTAATGAAGTTTGAATTCAATTGAAACTATCTGAGGTCATCTGATACAAACCTTTCACATTATCTGCCTAACAAACAAAACATTAAGTGTGGGGGGGTTTTGTACAGTTTTTATAAGATAACTCGGCTCTACATCAGCTCTCTGTAATGTTACCAACGCAGAAAACGTTTTCATTTAAAAAGATAAAGTCTGTAAACACTCACGTCAGCACCGTTGGGTCCAGCAGGGCCACGGGGGCCTGGAGGTCCAGGTGGACCCTGGAAAAGTAAAGAGGCTCAGGTTTTAATCAAGATTTATGATTTCATGGTGACAAAACAAGTAACTGAATTTAAAAAAAGCACTGAAGTCATAGAGTAATGAAACTCACCAGGGGTCCAACATCTCCAGTCTCTCCCTTCTCACCTGAAGTTCCTGGCAATCCCTGCAGAAAAGGAGTAAAAGTTACACAAAGAATTTGTTTAGATTAACAACTTAGCTAAAGATTACAACTCAAAATTCAAGCCTGATATACAGTATATGTTTTCTTTGAGTTTATTTTTGGGCTTTATGTCTTTACTGATAGGACAGAGAATGAAGTCAGAAACAGGGATTAGAGCGAGGTCAGAGTGGAAACCAGGCCGTCTGCTTGGAGGACGATAGCCTCTGTTCACGGGGCGATTACATGAAAGTCTAAAGTAAGAAGTGATTAAGGATTTCAGTGATTCTGTAGCTGTAGTGTATATTGTTGTTTGTATTTGACCTGCAGTCCGATGGGTCCTGGGGCTCCTGGGAATCCTCTGGTACCTTCGTCACCTTTGGATCCAAAAGGTCCCTGCTGGCCCCTGGCTCCAAGCTCTCCATCAGCACCCTGCACCATAGAAGAAGAAAATGAAAGACACAAACATTTAGATAAATCAATAAGTTCACCGGGAAAAAAACATAAATTCATTAAACATTTCATGTTTTAACTTAGTTGTTCTGATGTATGAATATGTAAGAATTGTTTACCCGTTTGTTCAGAACAGATAAAAGAACTGAGAGTGTCACAGTGACATCCACCATATCCCCCCCAAACTCAAATAACACTACATGCATCAACATGAAAGTTAAACATCAGTTACAAGTTCAACAAACCCGATTTTGTCTTTAAAGAGTTCAGGGTGGTACTTACAGCAGGTCCAGGCTGACCAACAGGACCCATTGGCCCGGGTGGACCAGGAGGACCCTACCAACAAACACACAACAAGCCCACAGGCAGTAAGCATAACATCAAAACAGAGGAAAGAATAAACAAGAAACTACATTGTTCAGGAATGTTGTCGATCAGAAATACATTTTGGGCTTGATGTTAGTCACTTACATGTTCTCCTTTACCTCCCTTGGCGCCCTTCTGACCATGCTCTCCAACTTCACCCTGTAGACACAGAAATATCCCGTTACAGAAAATACAAGTTTCAAAATAAAGACTCATCATGTCTGATTAAAGCATGGAGAACTCACACCTCAATCAGCCAATTTATCTAAACAAGACACAAAAACGATGAAGACATAGCTGCCTACATTAAGGTTAAAAATACAAGAGGGTGGGGGTGATCGGAGGTGTGCGTTAATCAAGTCAATAAAGTCGTCACATAATGAAAATGTGACATTCTTCCTTTAAGATGGGACGTTAAGACGTTCCTTGCCTCTGTGTGTCCTAAAGTTATGAAGGTTGGTGAAAGAAGGGTAACCTCCTCTGTTGCTCTTTATTAAAAGCTGCTTTGCACACTTATCCAGACGACTCACGATAATAAAACGAAATGATTCAGTCCAGCTCTGCGGTCGACATTTTTATGTAGATGTGGATTGTTTGTGTTTATCATGACTAATAGATGATCTTGCAACTTTGGTATCTTAGGACACATATAAAAAATGAATGTAAGCGAAATATGGATTATTCAGACTAAGATTGTAGGGCCGGGATTTTCCCGTGAGATATAACAGAACAGGAGGAGGCCGGGAGATGGCCTTGAACTACAGGACACACTCGGGAGTGTTGGCAGGTATGGATTAAGAAGGTGACAGGTGTTTTTTTAGAGTTACTGGCCTTGTCTCCGTCCTCTCCTGGTACTCCAGGTGATCCAGCAGGGCCAGGCAGACCCACAGGACCCTGCACTCCATCACGACCTGCTGGGCCAATAGGGCCTTTTTCACCCTTAATAAGAGAAGAAGAACAAAGAGGAAGATCAACAGTCAATCACTTTCCTTTGGCTGGATTGAAAACACATACAAAATGTCAAACTGCTCAATGGATGAACATTTCCAGAATACTCACAGGAACTCCCTTCTCTCCAGAAGGTCCAGGAGGCCCCTGAGGGCCTGGTCTGCCAGGAGGTCCAACAGGTCCAGCAGTACCAGCTAGACCCCTCTCACCAGGAGATCCCTGGAAAAACACAATATCATGAAGACAGTACTGACTGCAGCAGGTGTTGGGATGTACCGTTATGAACAAACTAAAACTATTTTATTAACACATCCCATTATTAGATATTACATTAAGTTTAGTATCAAAGTCATGAACTACAGAACAAAAGGAACACAGATCATGGACTGATTGACGTAAAGTAACTTCTGTTCCTGTATCCCTTTACGACAAACTTAAACTAGTTAGCTAGTCAGATAGCACAGTAATGTTTTCTCCTATAAATGGTAAAAGTTTGAGTTTAAACTTACAGCAGGTCCAGGGGGTCCAGCAGGTCCTTCACTTCCCTTCAGTCCTCCACCTCCCTAGAAGAAGGGACACAAAGTGTTTGATCAATCTCCATTTCTGTGAGACGATTTTAACCAATTCACTTTTATACAGGTGATCCAACAAAGACATAACAGTTTGTATAACTGGAAAATCTGCCCTCAATGTTTCTATTGGTCATGCTCACAGGGGTTCCAGGAAGTCCTCTCTCTCCAGGGAAGCCTCTCAGTCCTGGTGGCCCATCTTTCCCAGGCCCTCCGGGGGGTCCAGGGTCTCCTTTGGTACCTTCCTTTCCTGAGGGACCAGAAAGTCCCTGCTCTCCAGGTGGACCTGGGGGTCCAGGGTGGCCACGCTCATCCCCTGGATGTGGGAGAGCAAAGTGGAAATACAGGTCACAGAAGATAAGAAAGGGTGGAGGTCCGATATTAAAGAACAAAAGTCAAATGACATTATTATGAAAATTGATGTTATCCTAAAAATTCTGGAAAATTCTGCACCATGATGGAAAACTTACCTGAGGTCCAACAACTCCAGGAGGCCCAGGTGGACCCATTTTACCTTGGAAACCCTGGAGGAGAGAAATTCATTTCAATAAACATTTACAAGTCATTGAACCTTTAACCCCCTGCAACATGTGAACAAATATTTAAAGGTCACAGCGATTCTTCAAGTTACCATCTAGAAAGAAACAATGAAGAAATACTGATTCAAACACTATAGTACAGATAATATTCAACCTATTTATAATCTGTGAGTGAATCCTGGGATTAGTGGCTTTTTCTATTCATGTCAGTAAATTCTATTATAAATGTGTGGCTTTTAATATGCCTGGCTTATATGGTATATTAATCCATCCCACCACATTGTCAACATGGAAATCAGTAGAAACATAAACTACAGAAGTCATGTATCTGTTTTCCATCTTTATGTGTCGGTTTAAGAGACAAAAAAGTCAGCACACTAAAAGTCCTTCAAAGTAAGTTTATCTGGTTAGAGCAGCAGCAGCCGTGTTTCAGCACAGGGCTTTCTTCAACGTTGCAGACATCAAGTGGAAATGCCCCTTTAAGGTGTGTGTGGTTTGCATTGAGAACAAACTGATCACTGACATGATATCTTAGGGGCTGCATGTATAAATAAACCTGGGCATCTTTTCTACAGCCCTCCTGGAGCATGCAGAGATGAACACTAAGTTTGCTTTTGGCTCCGCCTCCAGCCTGGCCCGGCTCCATCATTATCTACTGTTTTGCTTCTTGTTGGTGTTACCACACTTTAATATTTAGTTCATGTAGTTGAGATACTGAACCAAATGTGGAAGTGGGAAAAAACTAACTTACAACTTCTCCTCTCTGCCCAGGGTGTCCAGGCAGCCCGTCCTTTCCTGGGGGTCCCTGCAAGGAAACATCCGTCAGCCATCAAATATTAAATAACTCTTTGTCTCAAGAGAAGACAGCAGGAAAGAGGGGACATCAAACCAAAGACCACGTTGGAAGAACTACAGATATCTTGTGTGATACCACGTCTTTATAAAAGTCGATGAAATGTGTTCTTACAGGAGGTCCTTTTGGTCCTGGGAAACCGTTGGCTCCCTGAGGCCCGGGCAATCCCTGGTGAGGCAACAACATATCAAATATTAAGATCATAAAAAGGAAACCAAATAGCACCGGTCAGTTTGGCAAAATGAGGCAGAGGTTAAAATGTTTGCTCTGATAAAGTGCTACGCAGCAGAACACGGTTTCCACCCTCCTCTCCAAGTGGACCAGAAGGGCCGTCACTTCCTGATGTTCCCTAAGAACAACAATACAGTAAAAAAAGACTTTTAAATCATATTTGAACTGTTGAGGGATATCCTCACATTGTGAAATAATTTAAATGAACGAGACTGATTTTCAACAATATTAATATTCATCAAAACAGTTTGACAGAATGTTTCAGGTCAATCTAGACAAAGTTACTGTGAAGACAAACCTTTGCTCCTGATTTCCCAGTGGAGCCCCTCGGTCCTCTCTGCCCTCTGGGGCCCTGATGAGAACAAACAGAAAGTATAATGAATGACTAACATGTTGTAAATGTCATGCTATCTACGATTAAACTGATGTTCAATCAATTTTGAATTGATTAAATAAATCTCTAGTGTACATTCAGTCAGAGAGACTTTATTTTGTTCCCTTACTCTGCACCCTGCTCTCATTGTCTGGGGTCGTTATTGGGAAATCAGCTGTCTCATCAGCTGGTCTCATCTATCCAATAGCATGGTGGTTATAATCTTTCCACTCTCTATTTAAATATGATTCCCCTCTCTGTTCCTTCATTCACAGAATCCATCAATTAATCAACCATCTGATCTGTCCAGACTCCACGGGGGGATTTATCCTGCTGCCACTCAATCCAGTCAAATCCCCCCCATAGAGTCCAAGCGCCAAAAATCTTTGTCAAGCCAGATCATATTATATCATTAAGTAATTAGTTCAATAGATATTCTCCTCTTTATCCACTTGTCTCCCCAGAATGAAATTGGTGCTGAAATAGTAATTTGCTGCAGTGATGTACCGGTATTCTACGAGACCCTGTGACTTCACTACTGGGTGTTGTTACAGGTGCAGCAGAGAACATTTCTGACAGAGACTATCTACAGACAGCTGTGATGCTGTGACGGGTGTAGTCAGAGGTGAAATAAGCTTCTCTTCTCGTACTTCTGTATCCTTTCTTAAACTTCAGAGAGGGAAGTGAAACTCTGCTTTTCAGCCCTGTGTTAAGTCCCTTTATCACAATAAGAATTTACAAAGTGATTAACTGTTAGAATAAGTGCATAAAAGTGAAATAGTACCGTGGGTCCTCTTTGTCCTCTGGGCCCTGCTTTGCCGCTAAGACCCTGAAAAAACAAACAAACAAACAAAGAAACAAACAGTTGAGTCAAACAGAAATGATCTTCACATCACTGTCTAACACTGACTTCAGGATTCTACTTTCCTCTACAGGACTCTACATAGAGCACCAGTCTATCTAATGTGTGTAGAGATCATAAATCAGCTTTCATAATGTCAACATCGATATTATTAACGTCCCTTTGTCACTTTTACAATCATAGTTCGAACAAAATCTCTCAAAGAGTCATCACATTACCCTTGTTCCCTTCTCGCCATTTGACCCAGGGAATCCTGGGAATCCAAGAGATCCCTAAAAAAACAAATCAACATTAACATCAGCACTGTCTGTCCCCATCAATATTAATGTGAAATCAAAAGTCATGTTTCATGAGTGGCTAGGGATGAAAGATGCAGTGTTTGTTTCTCTTACCTTTGGTCCTAGTCTTCCAGGATATCCAGGAAGTCCAGGCACACCAAGTTTACCCTGCAATCACATGATGACATCATTAAATAATCATCTTCATCTCGATGGTCACAACATCTGTAATTCTGAATAAACAATTCAAAACTTTCACACAAACTGATTTTACAAGAAATGTAGTATAATCACATGAAACAATATATTATTATGAATCTGATGAGATAAAGTTGATCATCAGGTGTGATGAAGTCATTTCAATTTAACAAAACAGGTTTCAAAAATGTTTGGAGAAATGCATATTTATGTGCAGCAACTTCTAAAGTATAAAAAGGAATAACAAAATAAAAATAAACGGAAATGTTTCATCCAAATGTATTTGTAATATGATTAAAAACTGTACATGGTATTCATAAATATGTTTCACTAAACAGCAGACACATATTAAACCACAAGAGGGCAGCAAAGTCTTATTTTCTGCCCAACGCATTACCTCATTTTAAGGAAATTGGAAGTATCTCCATTTATTTGTGGGAAATGTTGAAATATGAAAATATGAAATCTATTTTAAATTAAATTTAGCTTTAAAAGGAAAATTAATAATTAATGCTACATTTCAGTAACCTATCTCACATTCCAAAAATTGCCAATCAAAAAAACTTTGCCGTGATTAAACAGCTTTTACCTTCTCTCCGACCAATCCAAGTGGCCCGAGCTCACCAGGGGGTCCAACACGACCCTTTGGCCCCTCTGGACCATCCTCTCCTCTGGGCCCTGAGACTCCAAGCTCTCCCTGTGAGCGGGAGACAAATCCATCAGAATAAATCACAGAATATTCAATATCTGGAGTCATAACTTTATGAAATGGTCATGAGTAATTATAGAACTCCCACCCTTTCATTCATCCAATAATCATGCTGTTAAAGAACTGATCAACCAACCAGTTAGTCCGTCTATCGATCTTACCCTCTCTCCCTTTGAACCGAAATCTCCCTTTATTCCAGGGAAACCGTCTTCTCCCTAAAAACACAAGCAAACAAAACCAAACAAAACATGTCAAAGTATTGTCATGAAAGACCCAACACGTCTTCAACACGCTGCTTTTGAAAGTGAACAAACAACATATTTAAATGACTTGATTGTAAATGATGAGAGGATACCTCTGAGTGAGTGATATATTGTATTGTGTATATTTTACTGTAATGAACTTCTTACCTTCTCTCCCTTGTGGCCCTTCAGTCCACGGATACCTTGACCTCCCTGGAGTCAAAACAATTCATAATCAATACACTGTTAGAGTTGTGTTTGACGCCACGAGGACCAGGATAGCCGATAGATCCCTGAGGACCGTTTGGACCCTGGAGAAGGTCAATGAAAGAAGTCCAAGTTGTAACACAATAAACACCACACGGTAACGTCTTACAGGCACAGCTACAACGACATGCTCAATGTTCCCAATTCAACAGATTAACTATAAATATTCAATATCTTTCAATAAAATAGAAGTCACATGTTTCTCTGAAGTTGTATTTAATTGGTGAATTGACTTTGTTAAATGGAAGTGTCGTGGTGTAATGCAGCTATTTATGATGGACACCTACCTGGTTTCCTTTGGTGCCAGAAGGCCCCTCCTTTCCTGGGTGACCCTGAGAAGAGAGAAAAAGTTCAAGCCTCAGGAAGCGATGATGGATTCAACTTAACGCAGATTTATGTTAATTCAAAATAAAGACAGAAGAGATAAACTTACAGGAGGGCCATCAGCTCCAGGCATTCCTGGCAGACCTGGTTTTCCTGTGGGACCCTGAGGAGAGGACATGGGGTCAGAACTGAGAGTCCAGGGGGAAGGGGAGGGGGTCTGATGGTGGTTTTGCACCTTAAACTTTTAGTGTCTTACAGAAAACACCACAAGAAGGATAACATGTTCTGAAAACTGTGTAGCTACTGTATGAAAAATGATCCTCCTTCATCAACATATGAATGAACTCTTAATCATACTCAGATCAGGTTACCCTCTTTAGGATCATTAATGGTTTTCAGTGATCAGGTGAGTGCATGTGAGTGATTGGACGGGAGCTGATGGCGCAAGATTTAAAACGCCGTCATCGTCCGCGTGACGTTTCAGGCCCAAACTGTTCATCAGAAATCAGATTTATCAGTTTTTTGTCTACAATTTAGGGTAAGTCATGACATTTTGTACGTCCTTTCATTGTTCCCAGAGGATAAATCCTGCTCATTCATGTTATCACACAGGACAAGGTCTCTGGAGGCAAGGCATGCCATAAAAAGATCAATGCAGGGAGCGCTGGTGGCGCAGTGGTTAGTGTGTGGAGGCCATAGTCCTCCATGCAGGCTGCAGGTTTAAATCTGACCTGTGGCTCTCTTCCTGCATGCCTCTCTCTCTCTCTCTCTCTCTCAGACTCTCTGATTTCAGACTCTATCCACTGTCCTATCTCTCCAATAAAGGCACAAAAAGCCAAGAAATAAATCTAAAAAAAAAAGATCAAATCATAAAACGAAGTGAAGCGGTTTCATTACGTGCACAGAGATCGCACTGGTTTTGTTCAGACAGTCTATGGTCATGCACCAGTTGCAGGACATTAACATTTTACTAGGGGGTTGAGAGGAAAAATTTCAGGTAAAACTGAAGTGAAAAATTCAGCTGTTAGCGTTCACACATGCAGCTCAAGACCCCCAAAAAGAAATGTCATATAACAGAAAAGTTTGAGATCTGCTGCATTTATGTCAATATGTGTTCTAACTGTGTGTATCTGTGTGTTTGTGTAGTGTACCACATGCAGGAGGACGGCTGGATAAAGGTGTGTAAGGAGGACGTGTCAGAGTTGATCCATCGCTACAAGAAGGGAATGTTCTGAGTTTGACCCCTTTAACAAAGAGCAACATCAGCAGTCTGCACATTCACAAACGATGCCTTTTGTTCCTAAATGAAATCTGATTTAGACTCTACTTTGTCTGATTCTGTATCAATGAAATGTCAGCCAGAGCATTTCTTTCCTTACATATCAACCTGAACTTCACAGGTTCAGACTGTTCTGATCTCTCTTTAGTTCATTTCTTTATGTGATGTTTTCTTGGTGCTGTGCATGTCAGTACTGTTGCTCTCCAAACGTGTGGTTCAGTGAAGTCATCTGTGCTTACCAGACATCACAACACAAAGCTCTGAATAAAAACAGTTTCTCAAACTACTGCTCTGTCGTTTATTATTGAAGATCTCATTTCCTCTTTCAGTCTTTTTTCTGCCTTTAACCTATCAGGCCTCACCTGTCTGCAGCACGCCACGCTCACTCCCTTTGTTTGCTGCAGCATGCTCAACTACATGTCAGGTTACCAACTACTTTTACTCACCTGCTCAATCTCATTTGCTTTACTTTGAAGTCCAGCCCACGAGTGGGACTCCATGGTTTTGTACAGCACCTGATGAAGAAACGTGTTCTTTAATGCGCATAGCTAATAAATAAGTATATTTTTGGGAGCCATAGTGCATCATATCCAGTGAATAAATAAGTGATGTGTGTGTGTTTGCTGACTTTTTCAGGTTGCCAACTACTCCCCGTGTTGACAACATTTAGGTGCATTTTTTGAATGCTTTGTTTGGGCTGTTCCTTTTCACATATGTGATGGCTGAGTTCATCAGTTAGATTTATTGGTGTGGCCCTGATCAGTGTTTTTAGATTTCCTGTAAGCTCTTAATCACCAGAATGATGTGTTCATCACTAGGAGGAATCATTTGGAAAAGAAAGAAGTTTTACTCTGATCCCTGCACTTTGATTGGTGTACGATTGCAGAAGCTTTCATTTTGAACTAACCCAAACACTTTTCTTCATGTACTGATTATAAAGCTGAGCTGATCCATTTTGTTGCTTTATGGTATAAACTGTCGGGAACCCGAGCCATGAGAGAGAGGCAGTACGAAACAAAAACTAAATCTCTCAGTTTAAACAAACCAGGCCAATTCAATATTTTGACTTGTAGTTGATGTGTTTACATACATAGAATAACAGTTTCCATGAATCTATCATTGTTTTATCACAACTATAAAGTACAGAAAAAATAAAAGTGTCAAAACATTTTAAGTAAAAGGTAAATCCAGAAATCGAGGTGTTGAAATGTAGAGCACAGAAATACATGATGGAGCAGATATAATTTACTGACTTTTCAACTGGCTCAAATCAGCCCTGAACCTGTGAGGTGAGATTTTGATTTCCTTTGAGAGGGCGTTAGCGTAATATTTACAGTCTGTGAGTGTTACTTTATCACGCTTATGTACTTATTTAAATAAAAAATAAACACAGTTTGGGTGCATATGACTCTTCTGTATTTTATGGATGATTCATTAACAGCCTTAAATTACGCCCAGGCTGACAATGCATCATAAAATAAGATATTTTAAACACACTGTAGTAACAGGAGCTGTGATGTCATCTGTTGCCATGCAGAACTCGGCTCCACAGGTTCTGGTGTCCTTGAGTTGAATCAGGTTTGTCAACGTTAATTTCCTTTTATAAAACTATGAGTCCGAGTTCATTTACTTACTTTGAACTTTTAATGACAGAATTTTGCAGTTGAATGTAAGACCTTTACATTTTTACATTGCAGGTATCACAGCTCTGTTAACATGTTTATATATTAAAGTGAGTGGATCTATTTATAATATGTTGATACTAAAAGGTATTTTTAAAGTGATTAAAATATACTACATAGCAAAATAAAAGTTTATTTAGAGGAGCAACAGAGCAGGAGAGTTTACAGTCACATGTCCCTTGTTGCTAGGCAGACTTCAGTGCAACAGGTTTGCTCAGGAGAAAACCAGTTCAATACATGCAGTACAAGAGGAAAGTGGAGTCTGCAAAGTTTACATGACAGTTCTCACATCTTTTCTTAGAGTACCTCTTCTTATTCAATAAGAAAGCAAGTTCTTGTTCTTCAAAATGTGTTTTAATTGAAGGGAAAATAAAAGACAACTAATCCCATCACCTGTGCATCCCCACAGGTCCTCATTTTGGGAGAGTAGTGTATACAGGGTTCAATACAAGAGGAGCTTATGGGAGAGGAGCATAGACCAAGAAAAACAAAAAGAGACAAACATCAACACAAAGGTTAAAACAGAGCCAAGGACACCAGCTAAAAGGATGAGAAACATTCACTCATCAAGTCTATATATGTTCAAGAGTGTGAGCCCTCTAAACTTTGAGCTTTTCCCGGGTGTCTGTCCCCTTTATCAAATACGAGATGTCAGATTTTCAGGAAAACATGATCTCTGATCTCTTAATAAGAAGTACACTCCCCAGATCTCTGAGCCACTGTTGGAATAGAGGACTAGTCTCTGACTTCCACTGCAGAAGGATAATGTGATTTAATTAACAAAGCCGGATTCACAACAACCGCTCCAAAGAAAGCGAGTAGAGGATCAGGAGTGATTTTTATGTTAAAAGCTTTGATAGGTGGTCGAATATAAGAGACCAAAACGTTTTAATGTTGGACAGAGAAAGTAATTTTAACAACAGAATGTATTCAGACAATATGTGAAATCACAAGAAGACACACATTTGGAATTTTTAAAGGCTTTATTGAAACACAAAATCAAATTTGTAATGTTTACATCACCGGCATAATAACTGATTATGAGCATTGATTCTACATTTTGATTGGTTTACAACTTAACATAAATCATTCAATTATTCTGATCAGTAGACAAATATCTAACAACTTTTCTTTCATCAGCTGAAGCATTTAAACTTAATTTAAAAATATATATCACAGAAGAAAAAACAACATAGTCCTGATTACTAATGAAAAACCTTAAAACACAAACATTATAAATCTCTTGAGCCTCGTTTAAATCAACACACTTCATTACTTATGCAGAAATAAACAGTACTGAGGAGCTGGTGAATGGAGGCTATGGTCCTACAAGCGGGCGGACCAGGTTCAAATCCGACCTGTGGCTCCTTTCCTGCACGTCATTCCCCGCTCTCTCTCTCTCCCTGATTTCAGACTCTATCCTCTGTCCTATCTCTACAGTAAAGGTACCAAAAGCCAAAAAGAAATCTTAAAAAAAAAAAATAAGCGAAACTATTTACACAACTGGAAAACAAAATGTTTGTATTGTGTTGTGTGTGTGTGTGTGTGTGTGTGTGTGTGTGTGTGTGTGTGTGTGTCTTTATTAACGTATTTATCACCAACATTTGTTTTAGCACAAAGCTCTGAACACCAGAAGTAAAAAATCCAACTATGATGGATTTTAGATCAACACACAAATCTTTCTTCAACACATGAAGAGTGGCGTGATGCCGTCATAGATTCATCTTCTGATTCTCTTCTCTCCAGGTGACAAAAAATAAATCATCAAGTTTTCATTAAATGTATTTAAGCGTCTTTTATCAGCAAAAGCTTTTTATATTTGAAACTAACGTCACCAAACAACCCTAAAGAAGATTTGTAAAGCATTTGTCAACTCTTTTTCAAACTCATTTTCTTTGTATTTCAAAGATTTAAATTTAAATTCCCAACTCTGATCACTTCATGTCTGATACGATGAGAGCCAATGAATTCTGAGGAGAGCGTGTCGGTCTGCTCCTTGTTTCAGTGCAGAACGTACCCGTAAACCTTTAGAGAAAAAGACAGAAGAAAGAGAAAACATGACATTAAAATAATATTTATCATCACTTTTTTTACAGAATTTATCCACAAATCCAGGTTTTAACATCAAGGTCAAAGGTCACGGTGATTTCATCATTGAAGCACCTTTCTTTAAATCATCTCCCTTCACTTCAAATACACTTTTTCACTAAAATGAGTCATCAACTTTTTACAATAACAAAGAAACGATCTCCTTTATGCAGTTTTATAATCAGATTTAAAGAATTACTGTAACAACCAAAAAGAAAAGAATAAGCTCGTATATGAAAACATGATAATAAACATGACAGGACTCAAAAACACGTTCACACACACACACACGGTTTAAAAACTGTGTGTCTTCCTCTGATTCCTGATTCCTCTTCCCCATTCACCTGTGACTCTCTTTTCTCTCTGCCTGTAGCTGTGGTTACCGCCTCTGTCCAGGTGACGCAGCAGCAGAAGTAATGTTTACATGCAGTGTCTTCCTGACTTACCACACACACCACCAGAACAATGACTATATCCTGAATTAAAGGCTTATTTCATGTAACTCACTGGGTTCAGGGTCCTCTCTTTGTCTTTTAGGTATTTTGATTTGGAAGCATCATTTGTTGCCACAGCCGGGTCGTTTACCGCTGTAAGATCAGAAACACAATGTTAGCACACATCCGACTCTGAAACCATCATGAATGTTTCCACTTTGCTCTCTCACCATTTCTCTTCTTATACAGGCAGAATCCAAGCCACACAGACGATGGTTACAAGAAGGAGAACAACGATGATGACAATGATCATGTAGATGGGATTCACTGTTGAACACAAACAACACACAGTCACACAACCTGTGATCAAACAGGTTAAAGGTTCATTAAAGACAAAGTTTCTCCTTCTGTCAGTTAGCTCGTCTTCATCACTGTACCTTTGATTCATTTTCTACATGTAGTTGTTTTTCCCTTCACTTTATGTCTTTATTTTCCATGTTTGATTGTGGCACAATGGTAACCGCTAACGATTACATTCAAACCTTTTTTCAATATTATTGATTTTAAAGTAATTTAAAGGTTAATGCGGCTGCACTGTGGTAAGAGCGGACAGACGGTAAAAACAAACGATTCTGTCCATTAATAATCTCTTTAAAGATCTCTGTGTTTGTTTCATCCTGATCCAAACCTTTAAACTCTTTTTCTGAATACTTTTACAATTTGAAGAGTTTGAAAGAAAGAAAAAGTCACAAGTAAACTTTCCCTCCATCACACGACTGTTACAGTCAAATCCTCTCTTTCATCACTTCTCATCGAGGTCTTACCGTAGTTGGTCTTGATCTCTCGTTTGTCCAGTTTGGTGACGATGTCCTCCTTCACACCAGAGAGAGCTGAAACACACAGTCGTACTTCCCCCAGTCATCAGAGGGCAGTTGAAGGTCAGCGCTGATCTGGAAGGAGCCGTCGTGGTTGGGAGGATCTCTCTTGTCCACGTCCTCGTGAAGCTCCTCTCCATCTTTCCTCCAGAACATCATGGCTCTGTTGGGGTAGAAACCTGTAGCGTGGCAGGTGACCCGAGAGGAGGGAGTCTTCTGGAGGAGAGACACTGTGGGAGTCTGGAGGACAAACAGGAAGACAGATTAGAGTTTCTTTATCAGGATTTACTCTTAAATACTGTTACAACTCATGTTTGATGACACTTTTTAAATGTACTGGGAAAAAAAGGGACTTTAAAATCCAGTGAGTCAACAATGAAAATCAACCTTATTAAAGTATAATTCAAAGAAGAGAGGGTCA